AAACGTCAGGAGAAATGCCTCTAAAACATGGCCCTATAGCCTGAAAAACCCTACAAGAACCTAGTGATTCCAGCCATGAAAACCTTTGACAATACATTGTTTTCATACTGTTTTAATGTATTTTCAAATAGAAATATATCTTAATTGTGTTTTAAGTTTTGTATTAAAGTTGTATTATGTTTTTAAAATGTTGTATGGCACCTTGGATCCTGGTGGAATCAAATACAACATTTACAGTTTTTCCTCTTCTACAACTTAGTTGGGCAAATAAGAACCCTTCCAGGGAGCAAGGTACCTTCATAAGGATTAAATAATCTCCCATCTCACAACGATTTAGACTTTTTGATTTCAACAGAAAAGCCTCCATCTTGTGGCCAACATATAAATAGCAGCTTCAGTACTGATATCTATTCCAAATGGAGAAAAAAAGATTATAAACATACATTTAGATTAGAAATGTGAAATGGTATAAGAATATACGGTATATACCTCCAGAGGGAATAAAGCCCTTTCAGAACAAGCAAGCAGCCCAATTCATGGATCTGAGGTCCATCCACCTATATAACGTCTCTCTTCATAAGATTCGATTTTAGTTTGCTCGCTCTCGTGCAGCAACTAACTGTATTCTGGTGCTGATCAAAAGTTGCACAGTATGACTATATTTGTTTAAACCATTTGTTCCCACAGGGAAGAATGTGTGGTTTAAGCAATGATCTGCCTGCTGCAAGAAACCGGGCTGAGCTGGAAAGAATGAATCCGGGGAACGAGATGAGGGGTTCTCTGTTTTCTGAATTTTAATGTGTATTTTATATAAATCGAGCCCCAAGTGGTGCAGTGGGTTAAACCGCTGAGCTGCTGAACTTGCTGACTGAAAGATCGGTGGTTCAAATCCAGGAAGCAGAGTGAGCTCCCACTGTTAGCCCCAGCTTCTGCCAACCTAGCAGTTTGAAAAGATGCTAACGTGTGTAGATCAAGAGATTCCGCTTCAGTGGGAAGATAATAGCACTCCATGCAGTCATGCTGGCCACATGACCTTGGAGGTGTCTACAGACTACGCCAGTGCTTAGGCTTAGAAATGGAGATGAGCACCACTCCTCAGACTCAGACATGACTAGACTTAATGTCAAGGGGAAACCTTTACCTTTTTATTTTATAGAAATATGTTTTATTATGTATCTTTTATAGAAATAGATTTTAATATGTGTATTTGTGATATTTTACAATTTATTTATTTATTATTTACTTTGTTTTATATCCCGCCCTCTCTCCCTCTTTGGGGAACTCAGAGTTGCTCACATGCGGCAGCCATTCAATGCCATTCAACATAACCCACATCATATTCAAAATGCATATCAATAAATAAAAATAAAATGTATATAACTAATCTAAAAGGATTCATACAGGACAAAACAATGATTAAAACCCCTATAATTAAGGTTAGAAACCACCACTTTCCCATTGCCATATTCCATATCTATTGCAGTTGACCCAATTTAACAATTGCCTTCCCCAAAGGCTTCCTTCCAAAGGAAAGTTTTTATTTGTTTCCAGATGGATAACAGGGAGGAATCCATTCTGATGTTCCAGAGCCAAGGGGCCACCATCAAGAAGGCCCTCTCTCTCGTTCCCACCAGCCACACCTGAGATGGGGGTGGGACTGAGAGTAGGGCCTCTCCAGCTGCTTGTACGGCTTGGGCAGGCTCATATTGGGAAATGCAGTTGGACAAATCGGTTGAGCCTGAACTGTTTAGGGCTCTAAAGGTTAAAACCAGCACCTTGAATTGCGCCCCGAAGCACACTAGTAGCCAGTGGAGCTCCCATAGCAGGGGATAGTTCACTCCCTGTACAGAGCTCCAGTAAGCCTGGCTGCAGATCTTTGGACCAGTTGAAGCCTCATCTAACACAAGCTGTAACCCTATACCCTGGTGGGCCTTCTGACTGACCAGGAGGACCTCTGTCTTGTCAGGATTGAGTTTCAGTTTGTTCCCTCTCATCTGGTCTGTTACTGCCACCAGGCACTGGTTTAGAGTTGGAATGGCTTCTTTGGAATTGAGTGGAAAAGAATAATAGAGTTGGATGTCATCTGCATAGAGGTGACATCGCACTCCAAAACTCATATAGATATTAAAGAGCATGGGGGATAAAACAGACCCCTGTGAAACCCCACAAGACAAAGGCCAGGGGTTCAAACAGGAGTCCCCCAGCACTATCTGCTGGGACTGGCCCTCCATGAAGAACTGAAGCCACTGTAAAACAGTGCCCGGAAGGATACCATGGCCTTATCAAAAGCTGCTGAGATGTCCAATAGAACCAACAGGGACACATTCCTTTGTTGAGGTCTCTGCGGAGGTCATCCACCTGACGTCAAGCATGCGCCCCCCCCCCCTAACAAGGGAAGGTGACATAGTTCTGCAAAGGACAAAGGTACCAGACTGCGCAATAGGGGTTAAGTCTTGGTCACATTGCCAAGGCATTGACAACAACAAGAACCCCACAAGGCTTTTGGGAAACGGCTGGATCTTGGGACTTCTGCCCTTCGTGAGAGTTGTAGTTTCCTAAGGACCAAATTGTTAATCAGTTGCAGCACAGCTGGGGTTTCATCTGCCAGCCTTCCCAATGATCATGGACTCTCTGCCTGCATGTCTTGGACTTCAGTACATACTATCTCCCTCATGAACTTTCCTCAAAGACCTTTTAAAACATTGGACTTCAGGCTTCTTCATGAAAATTAATCCTCTTATTAAATATACTTGGGATGTGGGACAAAGATGGGGTTTTGTTGCTATGAAATGCTTATGATTTGAATGTATGTATCTTGCTATGAAATATTGCCTGCCCCTTTGCCTTTCCCTTTGCCCTTTGCCCTAGAAAATTGTGACCCGAGATTGCTCACTGCCTGAGGGAGGACCACAGCCTCCCTCGAAACCAGGCTGATCATTCAACATTTGCATGGACAATAACAAGTTGAAATATCCTTTGTTTGCTCTCGTCTGGCAGACAAGGAAGTTTCTTTGGACATCATGATTGCTTTTTTGCACGGCCTGCCAAGGCTTTAATGGTGTTTCTTTTTTGACTTGGGTGATGGTTGGAGTTTTTATGTATCTATCTCTGTATGTGGGTTTTCTGTAAATGGTGTGACCCAATTGTTGATCTGGTTTACGGATAACTAGGACATCTAGAAAAGGCAGTCTTCCTTCATTTTCTTTTTCCATGGTGAATTGGATGTTTGGGTGGATGCTGTTAAGATGGTTCAGGAACCTGTTGAGTTCTTCTTCTCCATGGCTCCAAATGGTGAAGGTGTCATCCACATATCTGAACCATATCGTGGACTTTTTGTTGCTGTTTCCAGGGCTTGTTTTTCAAAGTGTTCCATGTAGAAATTAGCTATGACTGGTCTGAGAGGGCTCCCCATAGTTACTCCATCTTTCTCTTCATAGAATTCATTGTCCCACTGAAAGTAGCTGGTGGTGAGGCAATGGTGAAACAGAGTTGTGATGTCTTCTGGGAACCTCTGGTTGATTAGTGTAATAGTTTCTGCTACTGGGACCATGGTAAATAGAGACACCACATCGAAGCTGATCAGTTTGTCATTGGTATATAGCTTGAGATTGTGGATTTTTTCTATGAAGCAGGCTGAGTCAGTGTGCTGGAAGCAGCAAAGACCACCAGCATTGAAGCGATGGTCCTCTGCCATCAACTCCACTGGAACAGCCACAGTGTCCAAATGCCCAAACACCATCACCCAAAGCAGTCACTCTACTCCGAACTCAAGAACGGAAAATTGAATGCTGGTGGGCAGGAAAAGAGATTTAAAGATGTGCTCAAAGCCAACTTTAAAAACTCTGGCATAGACACCGAGAACTGGGAAGCCCTGGCCCTTGAGCTCTCTAGCTGGAGGTCGGCTATGACCAGCAGTGCTGTAGAATTTGAAGATTCACTAATGAAGGGCGAACAGGAGAAATGTGCCAAGAGGAAGGCACGCCAAGCCAACTCCGACCGGGACCCCTTCCACCTGGAAACTGATGCCCTCACTGCTGGAGAACATGCAGGTCAAGAATAGGGCTCCACAGTCACCTATGTACCCACTGCCAGGACACCAAACTTGGAGGACAATCTTACTCGGACAATGAGGGATTGCCTAAGAAAGAGAGAGAAGAGATCACAAAGATTGCTTGACAAGGTTTGTTCGGAAAAGCTTTGCCACTGACTTCTTCTGAGGCTCGAAAGAGTTGACTTGCTCAAGATTACCCAGTGAGTTTCATAGCAGAGTGGAGATTAAAATTGGTTAACCAGAGCTGTTCTGGTAGAGCTGTACCAGAAGCTCCAATTTTGTTTGTTTTGCATTGAATGTTTATTTGCAGTCCTAAGTTTCAGGGACTCTGCAGATAGGTGGCTTCTTTTGGCTGCAGTCATAGGGCAAGCCACCTGCCCAGTATCATTAGGTTATGGTCCCGCCCCTTGTTCAGGGC